AAAAAAATCTATAAAGCATAAAACATAGGCATAAAAACTTTACAGCTTTTTAGATAAAAGCAAACTGAGTCATGAGCTTCCTTTTGACTTTATACTCATTCATCAATAGGAAAGGTTATTGGTTCCAGGAGCCCCAAGTATAACAAAATCCATAATTTTCAAACCTCTTTTATAAAATGACATGATATTTGCATGTGACCTACACTCATCTTCCTGAGTACTTTAAATCATCTCTGGATTATTTAAATATGCATAGTACAATGTAAATGATATGTAAATAGCACTTGACACTCCCTCTTATCCTTTGAGGGATTACATTGACTACTTAATAGCTTCCCTCCTCCCACTGATATTTTGATTCCTGGTTGGTTGATGTGGAACCCGCAGATACTCGTGGGTGGGCTGTATCAACATTTGATTTGTGGATTTTATTTTCCCAGAATTATTGCTTTAAGATGTTAATTATAAATGTAATTTCTTTTTACTTCAAAATGAAAATAGGTCTAAGTACTTATCCTTATCTCATGGTATCCATGTTTCTGTATGAGTGTGCGTCTGTGCCTGTCTGTACTTGGCTTTTGCCTTAGTGTTTGTTTTCCAGGCACTTTGCTGCTTCAAAATCGATGGCCAGACCCAAACATACAGAAGACAGTCCACCTGGAGAGCTGGGTGTGGGACAGAAGCAGCATTCTCTTATTACAGATCTGTTTCACAAACACATACACACTTGTTCTCAGTCTCTGGAGACCACAAATTCTACCTTTGGGAGGAAATTTTATGCTTGACTCCAGTTTCTTTACATACTTAACCTGTTTTTTTAGCAGTTCCGTCCACATATTAAAATATGCTTTGAAGGAAATATATTGATAGCTCAAGAAACCCTTTGACTCTATTTACCTTTTCTCTTCACCCACACTCGTAACGAGTTAAGGAATGCTTCAGATTGCTTACACAGGAAGAGTCAAAGTCAGTGCAGAGCCCTGACCACTTTAACATTTGCTGGCAAATGACAATGCAGTCAGACCAGAAGAAAAAATAAAAAGGAGGAAAAATTGCTTCCTTTCCTGTTGGAAACCAAATATGTAGTTTGCCTGACCCAGTTTTCAATAAGAGAGATTTTCTGATGACCGGAGAGGAGTGACTATCTCTAGTCAAAGAAAGAGGAGGGTGAATTTAATCTTTCATGCTACTGGAATGGCAGCTGCTCTCAGTTCTCCCTGATTCTGCAAAGGATGCTGAAGATAGAGCTGGCTTTTCAACATAGGAAGAATTTTCTTTTTGAATATTCTAAACGGGAGCTTTGCACATGTGCCTGGAGAACTCCCGGTAATTGTCTAGGTTCTGTCAGGAATGCAGCAGGAGAGGAGCGTATTTCATGCTTAAGACCTGAGAAGAGCGACGCAATACTCAGTGGATAAAAGGCTTGCAGTCCCAGCTGGGAAAAAGAGTCCCATTATCTCCCAGCTGCATAGACATTCCATACGGCTTGGTTCTGCCTGGATGCACGGCATGGCTGGCTGAGAGCACGTCACAGAGTTCTGCAGAAAAATTGTAAAGATCCCGAGACATTTCCCTGGTAAGATCTGTAAGTACAAAACCGTGCTGCCTGCTGCCATGAGAATATTGCTGGGCAAGCTGCAGCTTCCTTCCTTCCTTCCTTCCGGTGTCTTTGTATTAGCATAACAGGTGAAAGCTAGGGAGGGGGGTATCAATCACTTCTTTTTTAATGATGTGTTTTGACGATCATGATGTTAAAGGTGCATGTAGTTCTTGTGAGGGGGAAACAGGCATGAATCTGTATCTGGGGGAGGTTTGGATCAAACCAGTAAAGAGACTACAGGTATACATTTTCTGTGTTTTGCTAGCTCTTTGCTGCAGTCAAACTAATGGGCTAGACCAGATGACAGTGCTAATTCTTGTTCTTTCCGATAGCTTGATGCCCTTTCTGTAAAGGCAGATGGAAAATGTGATGGATATATATATATACCCTATATATATATATCCATCATATATATATCCATCACATATATATACATCCACCAGAGAGGGAGGAGAGGAGGGTTTGCAATCACCAATGATGATTTAAAAGTATTATTACAAAAAGTTTCCCGGGGAAGGGTTTTTTATGGAGAGCCAAGTAAGACTGGTGGTCATATGAGCTCACCAAATTTTGTCTGGCATGTTACATCTTACCTAGCTTCTAGATAATAGCTTATGAAGTTTCTTTTGCCATTTACAATAGTTAAGCATGGTGATATAAAGGAAGCTTTAATACTTTAGGAAAAGTTTCAGAAGTTGATGTCCTGGGAACAAAACTTTGAAGAACTCTGATATTGGCCACATATAACCCATTATGCTAATGGGACACTGTCTACATTGGGAGTTTGAAGGAAAATTGGAAATTCATAGTTCTTGCTTCTCCAAATGAAAACCACTTACGTTTAAATAATCAGAATCGTGACTATGTCCTTAGAGAAACATCTACAAAATGACTAACTAGAAGTTATACTGAGGGGAAAAAACAGAAAACAGTAGAATTGCACAGAATCAATTTGGAAAATGAGATAGTCCTAATTTTATGTATAGTGACAATGTTTTACAAAAATCTTTGTAAAAGAAGGAGCCATATGTTGAACAGTGAATTTCTTGTTTTGAGCAATTTTCATTTGTCTGATGGGTTTGTTTATCATTTTTCTTTATTGTTGTTGAAGGTTTCACCAGTTTATGTCATTGTATTTTATAAGGAAAGTAGCTATCTTCCTTGCACCCTGCTCACATATAAACAGACATAAACATAGAAAGATGCATAAAGTAAACACAACTGCACACTCAAAAACTAATAGCATTTGTATATCCATTCGACATTCAGAGCCAATTCATGCTTTGCTGCCTCACTCAATTATTTTTCAGCAATAATCCTGACTTTGTCATCCAAAGATTTAAAATTTATAGATCAGCAAACTTTGATATAAGGCAGTATATGAGGTTATCTAAATGCATAGCTTAGCACATCTTTGCAAGAAAACTTATCATTGATGAACTTTGCATCATTTATAAGCATTGCCTTACATTTTAGCACTTCTAGTGTATCAATAGAAAAATTTCTTACAATTCTCTATGTAACTTCCTTTGAATGAAATAATCATTTTCAATAGAAAATCATTGCATATTTGATGCAAGCATCGGCAAAATAGAGACAAAAGCTATTACCTTCTGAAAAGTATGTCAAGTTTATTAAGTTTCAGGCATAACTTTGGTTTTGTGCATGTTTGCTTTTGTTTTTGACAAATAAAAACACATTAAATTCATACCTTTCTAAGTCTTTATTGGCAAAAGACCAATAAAATATATTTATTTATTTACTTTCATATTTAAGTTCAATGTGTAAAAATTAAAATGCAGTTACATGAAAAATAATCACTAAAAATAGCTTAGACTAAATATGAAATTCCAAAATGAAATCTCATAACCTATAATTCTAAGCATAAAAATTGGAAACATCATTGGAGAGAACCCCAGGCCTAATTTCACATTGCAAGCAGGTAGATAAGTAGATAGCTAGTTGTACATTCATAACCATGGGTCCTCATTATATACCACCTTATTTTTTACAAATAAGTATTTAGATACTATGATAGATGGTAGATATATGTACTTTTAGAAGAATGAGTAATTCCCATGCTAAGTAAATTTTGAATTTAATTTTAGATTATACATTTGGATTAAGCTGAAAAAATATTATGATGTGAAACTGATGAAATGGGTAAAACATCAGATATATAGTTCTGTCCAATAGGGATATTAGTTTCAGGAAAAAAAAAATCAGTCTACAATTAAGAGCAACAGTTATGAAAATAGTTTGAAGTCATTATCTAGAATGCATGTTTAAGTATTAAACAATCTTTTAAGTCCAGGCTCTGATTGTTAAAGAAATTAGCACATGTGTTTTTTGGTCATCTGTCTGGTCCATACCCTTTCAATTTAAACTATAGTATTAGTTTTATATTATTGTTATTTATAGCATTACATTTAGATTCATTTCCAGACTGAGTTTAACCTTATTTTAGTATTTAAAATAATATTTTTATTGCCAATAGGCTTTTACTCAATTCCCCATGCTTGTATTATTATGTTTGAAAGTTTTCTTAGATCATTTGGATTTCTTGCTATCTGGTTTCCTTCCACCAAAGCAGGGGCACTGGGTGCTGTCTTACACACTTGAACATTTCTTTCTTTTGCTTTATCCATGAAAGGCAAAGAAACTTTCTTGGATTAAACTTATTTTTCCCTTTCAAAATAAACAAACATCTTTAAACAATGCTGAGAAAATTTCCCTTATTAAATGGCACTGTGAAAGACTCTTAAATTTATCTGAAGCTCCCACTCCTGGATGTAATTTGCTCAGGGTTTTTTTCCTGTAATTTGATGGATGGCCACATGATATTGTCTTTTTCACCATGATACATGTTGAGGAGCTGCTCAATTTTCATCAATTTCTTCTTGAACTTTTTTGCCTTGATTAAATATTTTATTATTACAAGAACTCTTTTTGCATAGTCTTGTTTCTGGTATGCAGGAGAGGGAGAGGATGGCTATTTTATTGCCTCTTTCTTTTATCAGGGACCTAATTATGGAAATGTGCTTGCTCATCATTATCTAGCAAATTATTATACAAAGTTCCTTTGTATTTTATTAATTTTTTAAAAGTTATAGTTTCTGAAAATACTCTACCACATCCCTGAAAATGTCTTACAAATGTGGGTCTTATAATAATGTGACTTCCAATATGGTTTTCACTCTGTAACCGTTTCATTTCCTCTTTTTTGTTCTCTACCCTTCTGATTTTTAAAAAAATTCTATGAATAGTAAGAATAAATAGATAATAATTTAGAGATTAATATATTTATGGATGTTTAAATGGGTTCCCTGGGTAGTAAAGAGAGTTATCTTGATCTACTGCTAACCAAAAGGTTTGAGATTCGAATCCATCCAGGGGTGCCTCAAAAGAAAGATGTGAGGATCTCTTTCCAAAGACGTAACCAATGAAAATCCTATGGAGCATAATTCTACACACATAGCGTGGTCATGAGTCACAATCAATTCAAGGCAGCAAATTTAATTGTGTAATTCTGTCTCCTTGCTGATTCTCCTTGAAATTTATCTTTTAAAAATGAATTTGTCTTTATTCCTTTCACCATTAACATATTTTCTCTTTCAAAATGTATGTGCTTCTGTCATAATTCTATAATGATTATTACTCTTTGTTTTTAATAAGGACAATGATTTGTGGGAAAAGCAGAAAAAGACAAGTGCTTGTAGAAAGAAAAGTAGTATATTGTCCATTTTAATTACAATTTATTGTTCAGAATATAAAGTTATCAAATTATCTGTCTTTGGGAAGGTCACTTATGTTCTCATTGGAATGGTTAATTATAAAGTTGATAAGACAAGCAGACACCTGTGTTATGAACTTGTAGACACAGTTTTCCCTCATTCAACACTTTCTACAACAATTTTTATGGTTAGAAAATTTTAGGGAAATCTATACACAGCTAAATTTAAAAGACAGTACTTGATAGTTTTCCCCTATGTCCCTCACAGGTATCCATGTCTTTAAGATTTGGCAGCTATATAATTATACTCCAATATTTGTGTATTATGATTGTGTCTAGTCACTATTTGCTTTTTGCCTTGAAGACAGAGAGTTTTTTGATGTTGCTGTTTTTATTTTTTTAAATATGTTTCTTAGTTGTTTCCAGCAAAATTGTGTTTTTCTTTTTTGTTTCTGTTTAAAGAGATGGGAATAAAATTATTTAATGGGCTTTGAGTAGAACATAAGCCATTTTCATTATAGATTGGGGCTCTTCTAAGTTAAATTTTATTTTATGTGCATTGGTATTATGAGAGAAGGCATACACAATATTAATTAGAGTTAAAAGAGAACACTTGGCTGTGATTTCTGTTAGTCTCTCCACTTGGTCTATCTTCTCACAGCCACCAAGTCAATAACGACTCCTAATGACTCTACGGGACAGGGTAGAACTGCTACCAGTTTCTGTGACTGTAACTGGGCAACCTTAGAAAGACCCTTCCTTGTCCCACAGAACTAACTGCTGGTGGTTTCAAAATGCTGACTTTGTGGATTGCTGCCCATTGTGTAACAACTGCGCCACCAGACATCTATGTTAATGAAGATAATGTTCTCCTAACCTTCTTTGCAATGAGTCCTAAAGAAATTTAGAGTGAGATTGAGTCATTGTAACAGGAAGAAAAAAAATCAGTCTTAAATCTTTTTAAATTTTTTATTTGGATGAGTGTAAGCCTTACAGATAATTTTTGGGTTAGGTGCCACTGGGTTTTTTCCAACTCTTTACTATCCCTACATTGGTGTCCTTGAGCCATTCTTGCAGTCCATTTTTGGAAGGGCTCTCTTTTTTTTTTACTGACCCACAATTGTTCTGCTGTATGATGTCCTGCTCCAGGGACTAGTCCCTCCTGATAACATGCTCAAAGTATGTAAGGCCAAGTTTTCATTTCCTCACATTTAAAGATTATTCTGGCTCGATGTCTTCTAAAATAGATGTA